GGGGAGCACCCTCAGGATGGAGGGGCCACCCCTACTAACTCCACTGCAGTGGAGTAGGACAGAGCAGGGCTGCCTCATAGGGTAGCCGGGACTGTCCTTCTGACCAAGCAAGCAGACTCTTCTTTTTCCCTTGGAGCGGTTGGCGAGTTTGAACCTCTGAACTTCTGGTTAACAGGCAAACGCTGAACCCACGGTGCCACCAGGCCTCTGGAGTGGTGATTAGGGGCATTGGATCCGAACCAGCAGAGTGTGAGGATGCTAGGGGCGATCTTGTGAGAGATGGGGCTCACAGGCTGTCAAGGGCAGGGCAGTGTCGGGGTGATGGCAGGGATGCCCCAGGTCTCTGGAGGAGGTTTAAGCAGCCTAGGCCTGGAGATAGCTGGGTGGGTCTTTGGGGCATAGACGGGGCAGGGCAGGAGGCACCCCCAGTCTCAGGACTCCAGGGCTCTCTGGGCCCCCTACCATTCCAACTGGCCATGAAGGTCCCTCCCTCCAGGAGCCTGGCCTGCCCACCAGGCCCCATGCCGAGGCCACTCTCCCTCCTTGAGGGGCCAGCTGCGCATCCTTTGCCCTTGGTCCTTCCACACATGGGACTCTGCTAAAGAGCCCTGTTGGCTCTGTGGGAGCAAGGTTAGACTGTTGGCCCCATAAAGAGCTACAGTCTCAGAAACCCTATACATAGTCGCTGAGTTCAGGGCATCCAGCCCCCCGCCCCCCCCGCACATTTGAGTGAGTTTCCTTTGGGATGATGAATGGGACTGTGTACCTGGCTCGGAGGTGCATGCAGTCAGTCCATCAGGGCCAGCCACGAGGGGCTACTCTGGGGGTGGGACCTCAGCAAAGGCCATTTAGAAGCCTGGCCCTGCCTTCCTGGTGACCTCAGAGCCTGTGCCTTGAGTCAGTGTGAACTGGGGTCAGGGCTGCAGTGCCAAGTGGAAGAGAGTCCCCTGCGCCTGCACTGGAGGCGGCAGGAGCCAAGGCCAGCCCTCCATGGCTGGAGCGTGCTCGCCGTGCCGGGACAGTGAGTGCAGGGCTGTGAGGAGACGGAGAGCTCTGGCTACTGCAAGGCTGGACATGGGGCAGGCATAGAGGGACCAGCCATATCCTCCTTGCCCCCCAGGTTCCTTCACCCTGGACAGGGAAGGCAGGAGGGCCAAGGGGGATGGCAGCTGGCCCAGGAAAGGGCATGATGGGAGAGCTGACTCGGCCATGGCCAGGGAGTTGAGGGAGGTCCAGGGGCTCCTCTCAGGCCCACTCGTGTGGGGACTTCCATGTCTAGAATGCTGTTGCCCGAGGTGAAGGGTTGTCTTTCTGGCCTGCCCACCCAGGGGAGCCATGCTGGGTCCCCCACTGTAAGGAGCCTCTGGGCTAGCTCCCCCATCTGGGAGGCCAGGCAGCTGCAGCACAGAACAGGGTGAGGAAGCTGGTCAGGCAACTCCTCCAGAGTACAAGAGTCCCAAGACAAGGCCACCTGCACACGGAGACACCAGGGGAGCAAGCCCACTGCAGCTTGGGGGCAGCCTGACCACATTTACACCCCCAGAGGATGGCACGGGTCAGGAATGGGACAAACCTCCCCACCACACTGAAGGCTGAAGGCAGAGGCTGTTCGGGGAGCCCAGTGGGGGCGGTGGGTGGGGAGCGACCCTCTGCTACAGAGCCTCCCACAGCCTTGGGATTGTCAGAGAGTGCCTGTTTTATCGTCTGCACACTGGAGACATCAGCGTCCCCTCCCTGTCGGGACAGGCAGTGCAGCTCAGGGCATAAGGGGAACAGGGACAAGACTCAGGCTGAAAGCCCAGCTCTGGCTGCGGCTTGGGGGTGGGGCTGAGGCAGCGATGCTAGCAGTTGGCTGTGAGCCACCGGGAGGAGCCTGTACCTTGGGCTGGAACTGTGACAGCCTCTAGGGTCCCGCTCATTCAGCAAACAAATAGTTGTTCGATGTAAACACATTTCCGGCCCGCACTCCGTTTCACTGGACACTAATCTACCCTCTGCTGCCAAGCAGCCGCCTTGTCTATTATTTCAGAACAAATTTAAGGATTAAAAAATAATTCTTCCAATTATGGCACAAAGCCTTGAGGCAGGTGGGGGGGGGGGGCAGAAAATCCACAGGGGGTGGTGCTCGGGCCTGAGGTTCAAAGCCATAGGGTGACCCAGGGACCCAGGGACGTGCCCTCATTCACCCCCACCTCCCCACCGGGAGTCCGAGGGACGGGTCATGTCTGAGAGCTGGCCCTCAGAAGCTGTCTTGGTCAGGCAGCCTTGAGAAAGCCCGTGCTTCCTGGCTAGGGTCCAGGTTACAGGAAGCCCAGAGCTACGATGTATTCTGTCCACGGTGGTCCCTGGGCAAGCCGGGGGCAAGCCCACTACCAGCATCCAGGGCAAGGTTGCCTTGTTCAACATATCTTCACACAGTCTACGAGCTTTGTCCAAGGTCCCCTGGTACAAGGGGCAGAGACTTAACATTGCCACCCCCCCTTATCTTGTCCAGGTCCAGGCCTGGGGGAGCAGCTGGGCCAGGGATGGGTAGACAGAGCCAGTGAGAAGCCAGGGTGAGAGCAGGTGGGTGCTGAGCCTCCCTGGGGGGCCCAGGCCAGGCTCTCTGTGGGCCCAGCTGCCCAGCAGGAAGCCCCATCCCCTATCCCTTCTCCAGCCATCCTCAGGGTGAGCTCATCCCTTCCTGGGCTGTAAATATCACCCAGTGCTCACGACTCCCCAATGCGTCCTCCAGCCCAGGCCTCTCCAGTGTTCAGCCCGCACAGCCTACTAGACGCCCCCGCCCAGATGTCTCGTGGGCCTTCGACAACAGAGAGACGTGTCTCCTGCGGCACCACCCCTCCCCCTCGCCCTTCCCCATCCTCCAACCTCAGGGAACAGCAGCACCTCCTGCTGGATGCTCAGGAGAGACCCCTCAGCCCAGCTACTGCCCCAACCCCTTCATGCATGCTGCCAACTGAAAGTGCAGTCATTTCTCCTGGGCCCCCTCCTCAGCTGGGCTACTCATGGGAGGATGGGCATGGAACCCTGAGGGATACCAGGAGTGTCTGCCCAGGGAGGTAGGGCTGTGAGAGGGCATGGGGACAGGAGCCCCCAAGGGGTCTTGGTAGCCTTGCCAAGCATGCACTATTGATGTGTGCTGCCCAGGGCTACTTCTTTGTCCCCAAGTCCTTACCCCAGCTGGTGGTGGCAGGGCCATTTGGAAACCCCCAGCCTCAGCTTGAATCCCTGTGCCTTGAATCTGGGTGTGTGCTTGTCAGTTCAATTGTGCAGAGAGCTATTTGGGAGAAACCCGGATAAAGAGACCCTTGCCTGTGTTTCCCACAACCACCCAATGCCCCACCTCAGGCTGGCTGGCCTCTGTGTCCCTCAGGGCAGCCCCAGGGACCAAGGGCCCAGATGGCTTACACTGCCCAGGGTCTGGGACCCTCCACAGCTGGCTGTCTGGGAGCAGGAATGACACGAGGTCTCCAGGGGCCGAGAGGGTCCTGGGCAAGTAGTTTCTCCAATTGTTCAGGGCCTGCCTGATCCACCTCGCCTCAGCTCCTTGGGTCAAGGAGGACAGGCTGATTCAGGTATGTTGACATCTATGTGCACAGTGTCAGCCTGGCCCACTGCCCGCTGGGAAAATAGCAGAGGAGGTGGGATCAGGGCCAGCCACCAAATGAGGCCCACCCTTGAGGACCCTGCCCAGGTCCCCTGGGGTTGGGAGCCTGCAGGTTGAGCCCTGAGCCCTCTCTCCCACACAGCCCCATCTGGTAGGATTTGAGACCCTCAGATGGGGCAGAGGCAGAGGGGCCGGGTGGAGAGTTTAGGGATGCCGTGGGAATTGAGCCTGTTTCCCTTGCTCCCCTCCCCACTGCCTATAGCTACAAGAGCCCCCGCCACCCCCAAGGCCATCTGGCTCCACCAGCTCGACTCCTCCACTTCCTCCTGCAACTGACTGTCTGCCTCCTGCTCTCCCTCCCCCAGATCCTGCCCTGTGGGGGTGCCGCCAGCAGCCACATGGCGCCTTTCTCTTCTGCTTGAGGCCTCGTGCTATAAGGCAGAGGCGAACTGCCTCCCCTGGGGTTCCTGAGGCTATAAAGCTTTATAGGAGCAAACAGCCTCATCTTTCTACCACAGAGCCGCTGAGGGGTTTGAACTGGTGATCTTGTGGTTAACAGCCCAATGTTGTACCTGCTGTGTCACCAGGGCTCCATTTGCTATGTGGTAGGCCTGGGGCTAAGGGAGCTGCGACTCACAGGCATGGGCCTCCGTGTTCTCATCTCTAAAATGGGCAGAATGTGGATGCTGCTAGACCAGGTTGCCAGGCATTTCTTTAGTGGCGTCACTGGGTGGGCTCAAACGCCACCTCTGTGGTTACCAGCCTACTGCCTAACTGTGGCGTCGCCGAAGCCCAACCCACTGCCATGGTACCAGTTCTGGCTCCCAGCAACTCCATCGGATGGAGCTGAGCTGCTCCCCAGTTTCCAGCAGGAGTCAGCCTCAGTTTTCTCCTGAGTAACAGCTGGTGGGTTTGAACCTCTGGTTAGCGGTCCACTGCACCACCCCTGCTCCTTCTTCAGTCAAGGACCCAAAACAAAGAACGACATATGCTTCCGGCATCTGTGCTGTGGGGGCTGTATTCTGCACGCACCTGTTTCCTGTCCATGTGCACATATGCATAGGTGTGCTGTGCACGTGTGCTGCGTGCGCACGCTTTGGGTGCAGGAGCACACAGACCCACGTGAACTGTGCCTGGGGGTTGGCAGGGTTCAGAGGATGAGGGTGTGGCTGTAGCTGTGTGTGGTGTGTACCTCCTCCAGGATCAGTACCTTCTGGGCAACATCCGTTCAAACCACCTCGCTCTCCCTCTGGCCAACTGGCCACCTCGCCGCCCCCCCATCTCCCCACCTGGTCCTGCCTAGTTGCAGAAGGGTACCTTGGAGTTGGGGCTGATTTCTCACTGCCCACGACACCTGCCCCATCCCCGTACCCCCAACCGCCGAGGCCACAGCTTAAGAAAAGAGCTCTTTATTCCACATCGTCCAATATTTTGACACAAGTAAAATAAAATGCATATTTTTATGTTCCGCGATCCGGGCGGGAGGCAGCGCTCTGGAACAAACGCTGCGCCACCCTGTAAACATGATGGGGTGGAGATGGGGGTGGGGGCAGTGGGCGAGGAGGGCCTGCCCTGCCATGGGGCTGCTCCGTATTGGGGCCGGGCTGGTGGGGGCGCCGGCCCAGGCTAACATGTGGAGGGAGTCCATATGCACACAGACCTGGTTGCAGAGAAAGGCCTCATGTCTGGGGCAGGTGGCCGGGTCAGCAGGGTCCGAGCACGGTCCACAGCGCCAGGGCCAGACCCAGAGGGGCGAGGCTGCAGGCCAGGCTGGGCAGGGTGCCCGAGCCATCTGTATCTCCACCACCGACGGCTGCCTGGCCCAAACGGCACTGGCTGCGCGTGCGGTTTTTGCGGGAACAACCTGGCCTCCGGCGTGGGCCTGTGGTGGGGGACGCTGGCAGTTCGGAACCCTCTGGCTGCAGCCCGATTAGTGGGGGCTCGGCCGAGCCAGGGAGGGTCCCGAAAGGGGAGTCATTGCTGTGTCTCGGGCTGGAGCCATTACTGGGTGGGCTGTCCCCTGGTGGCACACGCCCCTTGAGGGCATTGCCTGGGGAGGCAGGGCTCCCAGCCTCCAGCACTGAAGCCTTGTCCCTGGGGCCCTGCTGGCAGCACTTGGGTAACCCAAGCAGCTCATCGTTAGCGGGCCCACTGGCCCGGGCGGGATGAAGGGGCCTGGTGGCCATGGCACAGCCCTGCAGGTCACTGGCGGCCAGGCGTTTGAGGTCGTGGCTGGCCAGATGTGGGGGCAGGCTGCAGGGCACCTCGGATGAGGAGCCTCGGAACTGTTGCAGCCAGGCCCAGAGGGGGCGAGCCCGGCAGTCACATACCCATGGGTTGTCATTGAGTCGCAGATACTGCAAGGAACGCAGAGGCACCAGGGCCTCAGCTGGCATCGCCGAGAGGTTGTTGGCGAACAGGTACAGGGTCATGAGACGGCCAAGGTCTCGGAACGCGTGCGGGTGCACGTGGGCCACCCGGTTCTGGTGCAGCAGAAGGCGGTCGAGGCTGTGCAGGCCGAGAAAAGCCCGCTCGGGCACGCCGGGGATCTGGTTGCCATGCAGAAAGAGGTGCGTGAGGTTGCCCAGGTCTCGGAAGGCGTCATTGGGCAGTGCCTGCAGCCCGTTGTCCTGCAGGTAGAGGTACTGCAGGGCCACCAGCCCATGGAACAGGCCGGGACCCAGCTCCCGCAGGCCGCAGCGGTCCAGGTGCAGTGTGTGCAGGCGGCTCAGGCCACGAAAGGTGGTGGAGTCCACAAAGCGCAACTGACCGTTGTCGCTGAGGTCCAGCTGCTCCAGGAGGGCCAGACCGGTAAAGGCAGCGGCATCAATGCGGGCCAGCGCATTGGAGTGCAACCAAAGGATGGTGAGGTTGCGGCAGGCGTGGAAACCTGCAGCTGGCACCTGCGCGATGCGGTTCCCGTGCAGGAAGATGCGCTGGCTGGCAGCCGGGATGTCGGGGGGCAGGGCCTGCAGGCCTTGCTGCGGACAGCTGGTGGTCACCTTGGGCTCGTTGTAGCACACGCAGGCACCCGGGCATGGTGCTGCCACCCGCCAGGCCTGCAGCCATAGCAACCAGGCCAGCAGTGGACTCCCTGCGGAGACAGATGACACGTGAGGGTCAAGCCCCTGGGAAATTGGGTGCATGGGAGTCACATCTCAGGGGAAGAGCAGGCTGGGGTTCCAGACAAAGCAGGCAAGGATGGGAATTAGGGCCGGGGGCTTCCTGCTCAACCCACCAAGTCAGAGTAGATGTGTCTAATAAACCCTGGAAGCCACACCCCATTTTTGAAAGCCACGCCTGCAATCTTCACACTCCCCGTCACTGGAAACCAAGGGGCAGTCCGCCCAGCTCCCCCAAGGTCAGTTGCAGCCTCCCCCCGCCACCCCCAAACGCCCCCACCCCGGGATAGGCGCTCATGACTGCAGTAAACATGGAGGACCTGAGCCTGACTGCCACTCCCACTGGTCCCCACACTGTCCTTGGCTTCTCCCCTGTGCACTCAGCTCTCAGGCCAACATCTGGGAGTGTGCCGGCCGCAGGTGCAGACTGCTGCCAGGAGGCAGGGTGGAGCTGCTGGAGGAGAGGCTCTGGGCTTTCACCAGGGAAATGGTAGGATCTGGGTGGTTCCATCAACAGGCCTGCTGCATCCGGGACCCCGCAAAGACTGAGATTATGAGATGCCCCCGCCCATAAAACACTTCCTGCTCCAGCAGGGGAGCACTCTGACAGTCTTGCCCTCGCGTGGTGATTGCCTCCTAGTGCAAGGCGCTCACTCCTGAGCAGCTTCCCTCCACCCTAGCCACGGGGCTGTGGTAACAACACTTCAGCTCCACTGTGGGGCTCGACACATAGGGCCCCCTGCTCCTCTGGGCAGGCAAGCCCTCCTGAAGCTCCCTATCATGCTCCAGCCACTAGCAGGGCCCCAAGGCCCGAGATGGAGCTCATTGCCCCACCTTTAGCCACCTCTCCCCTTGAAACCTAATGACTCTCTCTGCCTCCAGGAGTGAGTCTATTAAAATGTGAATCCCCAGGGAGGGCTATGGCTTATCAGCTAGTACTGGAGCTATCACCAACACCAACACCAACACCTTCCGTGACAGCTAACACCTTCCCTGGCAGCTAGCTGAGAGCAGGGTTCCTCAGACATGAGGCCGGTTAAGTGTTAGTGTGGGAGCCAGGAGCAGGGAGGAGAGCCAGAGCCAGCTGTGACTCTGGGGCATTCCCACCCCTGCTGCCCACCTTCCCCATCAATGCCACTCAGGGTCTTTTTGGCTGGGGCTTGTCCCAAACCAGCCATACTCAGTCCCTCCATGACCACGCCCTTTCCAACTCTGGACTTTGTCTATCCTGGGCCCCAGAGCCCCTCCTCCTCGTAGGCTGCCCTCCCTGACCCCACCGTTCCTTTTGTCCTGTAGGACTGCAGAACAGTCATTGGTTACCTAGGGGTGGGACAGAGAGACAGGCCTGGCCCAGGAGGCCCTGGGAGCTGGGGCTCCCTCTCCAGGCCAGCTACATGGCCCCACCCCTTCCCATCCAGGCCTCGAGTGGGAGGCGGTGAGGTGCAGTGTGGCCCGATGTTCTATTTAAGCAGCTGACACCCTCACTTCACACATGTCCCCTCCTGGGAGAGTCAGGCTTCGTTCCATCGGCTCCCCACCGCTGTCTCACCTGCTGTCACGGGAGGTGATTGCTGTGCAGACAGCACCTCGGTCGCTGGGACCTGGGGGAGCAGGCAGGTCTGGGGCGAGCAGGGGAGCTGTGGCCCACCAGAGAACACTGGGGTGAGGCCAAGGGTCTCAGGAAAAGGTGGGCTGAGCCATCTGTCATTGCAAGGACCGAACCATATGACTGCCCCATGTCACCAGCTGAGTCACGCCACCCACCAAAGTCACACTCGGACCATGCCCCCACAGTGGCCTGTGCCCAGGGTTCCCACCTGACCTTGGCAGGGCTCAGGGCACTGCTGACTTTTCCATCCTCTCCAGCCTGGCCCCCTTCTGTGAGGGTCTGGAGTGTGGCAAGGAGGTGACCTGCCCCCCTGCATGGCCTGAGTCAGTAGCCAAGGGGGCAGCTCTGTGCCCCATAGCCTCCCCCTGCCACTTCCCGGTCACCATGGTAAGGGGTGGGCAGGGGGTATCTTCAGGGGAAATCAGCAAACTCAACGTGGTATCATGGCTCTCATGCCCACCAGGGGCTCTGAGGCCAGTACTGCAGGCCTCCACCGGCTCTGGGCCACCAGGGCCTCTCAGTGTCCGGGTCTGAATCCCCCGACCCCCACCCCCACCCCACTCAGCTGCCCACCCAGCGCTTTCCCGCTCTCCAGCTCTTCCCTAGAGGTGGCCACTTGGCTGTCCGGCTGTCCCAGCTGGGTCACAGTACAGGGTCCACCCAGGTCTGGCTCAAACAATCCGGTGAGGGGATGAGGGCCTGGGGCTGCGGTCAGTACTAGGATGGTCCGCTGCCAGGCTGGAAGGGCCTCAGGCTTTTAGGGGTGAATAGGGAGCCAAATTTTAGCTTAGGCCTCACCACCCACCTCTCCCGCCAGGGCAGCCACAAGAGGCAGGAGTGCCAGTGTTCTGGGCCCCAGAAAGATTTCTAGAAAGACAAAGCGGAGTGGTGTAAGGGGTAGAGCAGGGGTCTGGGTCTGCCCGGGGGACCCAGAGTGGAGTGGCAGGCACAGGGTAACTTTCCTGTGGCCGATGAAGATTCATGGGAACCAGAGGAAGAGCAGCAGGGTGGGGGAGGAAGAGGGTGGAGGGGCAGCCAGGTGGGACTCCCTCAGCCGCTGGCCAGCAGAGCAGCTATAGGCAGGAGGCTGCTGAAGTCAGCAGCTCTGGGAGGCAGGGCTGCCAGAGAGCAGGGATGGTGGCCAAGCAGTTGGGGGAGGGCTGGGGAGGGGGAGGTTCCTCCCATCATCCCCTGTTACCCCTTCAGCCCTGAGTGCCCCCTGGACAGTTGAGGTGCACAGGGGGATGTGGCCCCTCTGCCTCCAACCCTCCTTCTGCCCGCAGGGTCTCCTCCTTGCCCACCCCACCCCCCACCCCCACCTGAGTGCTGTCCTCCTGGGAATAGGCCAGGCAAAGTGCTGAACACCCAGCCAGGTGCTGGGGGCAAAGGTGTTGGAGAGCAGTGGGTGGAGTGCTGAGGCCCCTCTCCCCACAGACACCTCCCTCAGCTTGGCTAGTCAGTAGCAGCCTTGAAACACCCTAGCCTCCCTCCTAGCAATGGGATTGACAGGGGCCAACCACTAAGCCAACCCGAGACAGTGCCAGGCAGCCCCATTCTCTTCCCTCTCCAGCCCACTGCACAGATTAGCAACCTAGAGGCAGGGAGGGGGCGCACTGCCAGGGAGGCCCGGATGGAACCCACACAGCAGGCTCTATGGGGCCGGTGTGCAGGAAGGAGCCACAGTGCCAGCCAGAGGGGACCACAGGCGAATCTGGGTGGCTTGGGAGTGTAGGGCCCTCTGCTGTCCATGATGCCTGAGTCTGTTTATCTGTCATTCCCAAGCTGTATTTCAATAGGAGCCCTGGTGGTGCTGTGGGGTAGACATCGGACGGACTATTAACCACAAAGTCAGTGGTTCCAACCTACCTTCCCCCTAGGAATTTGGGGCCAACAGGCTTTGAGGGGTTGGGGTGTGGGGGCAGCCACAGCCCAGCTGGGCTCACGGTGGACTCCGGGGCCTCATCATTGCCCAGAGCATCCCTTGTGGAGCCGCATCGCAGATCTCTTTATGAGGCAGAGTAAGAAGCTACAGCTCAGCACAGGCAGCCAGAAATAGCTTAGGCAGTTGGAGGCTGGGGGGGGGTGGGGGGGTGCAGTGCTGTCCACATGCTGCAGAGGGCCAGGGTACCCGACAGTGCCACGTGCATACCCCCATCCCTGGTCTCCACTCCTGCTGGCCCCCACCCTCCCATCGTCCATCTGTCTGGCCCCCGCATCCTCACATACTTCTCACACCACCACCCCCCTTCCGCCCGTCCCAAGCAGGGCACCTCTGCGCACACAGACACGTGCAGGGACAGTGCTACTGCACCATGGGGCTTCCTGTGCTACCTCCGCCTCCTCAGTGCCAGGGTCGGTGGCAGGGGAGGGAGGAGGGCGAGGGCCAGTAACAGCTCCAGCAGGGCAGGGTGCTCTTACATGGGCTTCTGTGCCTTGCTGTCCCTGTTCTTGTGCCCTGAGAAGTGAGAGGCCCACAGTCTGGTCACCGAGCAGAGGAGTGTGTGGGGTTGGACCCATCCTTTGGAGCAGACAAAGCTACTCCAGGGCTGATCCTTATTATTATCCTGATACTTCTCAGTGCTGCGGGGCAGGGCCGGGTGGACAGGCTGGAGTTCGGCAGGGCTGTACCGGCAGAGGAGCCCCAGTGGTGCCGTGAGAGAAACGGGAATGCTAACAGAAAAGTCGGCCGTTTGAACCCATCAGCCCTTGCGAGGAAGAAAGACGAGGCTATATGCTCCTAGAGAGATTGACAGCCTCGAAAACCCCGGGGAATCGTCTTCCCCTGTCCTACAGTGTCACCCTGAGTCAGTGACTCAACGGCAGTGGGAATGTGGCTATTTTGGGCAAGATCACCCGCCATGGTGGGAGGGGGATGGGCAGGGCCTGGGGTGGCTGGGTAGTGGGGAGACTGAGGCCCAGGTCCACTTGGGGTTGCACTGTGGGAGGTGGGGGGGGGTCATGATGCCTCCACTTTATGCCGCTCTCGTCAGGACTGCTGGCTTACACCCTCGGCAAGAGGGCACCCACAGGGCCTGAGATGAGAAGGCCAGGTCCAAGGTGGGGTCCCTCAGTCCACTGTGCGTTCCTAAGAGTTAAATTGTGCTCCCCCATGCTATCTTATTTAATAGGAGTCCCAGTAGCACTGTGGGTTAGACTTTGGGCTGCCAACCCAGGGACCATGAAACCCCCCAGCCACTCCAAGGGAGAAAGATGAGGAGGCTGTCTGAGCCTGTAAGGCTTTGCAACCTGGGAAACCCTAGCTGGGGTCACAATGAGTTGGAATCGACTCGAAGGCTGTCGGTTTGGTAGGGCTCAAGTTATTTAGTGTGAGACTACTCCGAAGGGGTCAAGTTTATCTACCCATTTTTATAGGAGAGGAAAATGAGGTTGGGTGGGGAGATGAAACCACTAGCTCACACCCCCAGACCTTCCATTTTGCAAGTGCACAGTCCCAGGGACCTGAAAGGCCTTGCGTAGCAGTGAAGAGTTGAAGCCCCTTGGACCCAACAACCCACAGCCATCAAGTCCATC